GAACCGATATCTTCGGGATAACTATTGAGACATTTTTCGTCAATACATTCGCCGATTCTTTGAGATCCACGAGAACTGATTGATTAAAGTGTTGTGTCTGACCCTCGGGTTTCACCAGTAGTTTCCTCAGCACAGAGTCTCCAGCCATGGCTGAGTTAGCCGTCAGTTTGATGTTAATATAACCCATAGTTTTTGGTGTTATTAAGAATGTGACCGAAACGCCATCGTTGGCAGGGATTGACACCAATTGTCTCTTTTCAGAGGCATTCACGCCTTTTATGTCCAATTGGTCGCTAAACTCAAACTCTTGCTTTTTGTTATCAAATACTACTTCCGATTGAATTGGTTTTGTGGTGTAATTGAAGACAATGGCCTCAATGGCTACCTTTTCGCCTCTTATTATAGAGTAAGGCAGCGATAGTTTGATGAAAAACGGTCGGAAAACTGTGACCTAAGGTTTCCAAATTTAGGTTTAATTGTTTTACATATGACTTGTTTTTGGGTAACCCTAATACCATACCTTCGTAGGTGTGGGTGCAATGCCCAGACCAGTCTCCATATGCATAGCGAATGAGCTGATGAACCACGAGGTGATTGTGTCGGGGATTGTGCTCTTGATAACAGCGCAACCATTACTCCTAAAGAATTTTTCGTAGGTGTGGGTGCAATGCCCAGACCAGTCTCCATATGCATAGCGAATGCGCTGATGAACCACGAGGTGATTGTGTCGGGGATTGTGCTCTTGATAACAGCGCAACCATTACTCCTAAAGAATTTAATTTATTATTATAAGTTAAGTATAATTACTTAATCAAGTTTATAATTAGTTAATAATATAGCAAAGTTTGATTTTTTAAATATTTATACGAAAGTACCCTGTTTGCATTGAGGTCCATAACCAAGTTTCGGGAAAATGTTTTCTAGTTTTAACAATAGTGGTCATATTGGTTTGCATGCCCTGTATGCGATCCAACTGTCTTGATTGTGATTGTACCTCGCTGCCTATTTCTACGGCCATCATTCTCAACTCAGAGACTAGATTTATAGAATACAATCAAATTTTTACACCATCACAATTATAGACTTTTATAAACGTTTTATAATTATAAACTAGGACTAAACTCACCATAGTCTTTATAAACGAGACCATTAGATATGACCACAACACCCGAAAAATTGAATAGTTTTTGGGCATTGGATGTGTAGCCATCCCAGTAATTGTCTGTAAATGTTGTGTCGTATGTCTGTAACTCTTGGATCACGGCTTCGCGCGTCATATCATTACCTGATTTCAGCAAAAGTACGCTCTGATCGACACCTACTATACCCACCCAAGCGTCCGGCTTTGTATTCACTCTCACAGCTACCTGTGCTCCAGGCTCTGCCTTATTAAGGTCGGTGTCGATCGACACGTCAGTTCTGAACAGTCCGTCCACTTCGAAGTCCATGGCGTCGGCCACCACTTCCTCGTTGTCTTCTCTCACATAATAACATAAAATCCTTGCTTTCGGTGCCATTCTGTGGACAGCCATCACAGAGAACTCATATGAACTACTGTTCTCCGGAATGTCGAGACTGTGTGTCAGCACAATAT